TGCATTAATGTTTTTGTCTTCTCCTGCACCTATTTTCACTGGCGAACTGGTGCTTTTACACTAAAAGTCTATGTTATGCAGCCATAGGCACGTAAATAAATAAGGAAAAGGGTCTTAGTTCTTAAAAGTAATGAAAATTTATTCAGGTTTGCATTGCTGGTTTGAGAACCTTCCTTTAGACAGGGTTTAGTTTCTTTTCAGAAGAGGCAGTATCTATTTCTCTCATTAATCCTTTCATTGCGAAACTCATGTTAACAACAGTGCACAGAAACCGCTCTACATGAGTTATGTCTTTTTGATTTTATCAGTCTAATTGAATCAGTGTGGATATATTTACATCTGTATAAAGCTACCCTTTACAGTACAGATTTTTCCTGTTTTAAGAGACAGAAGGAAAGACGTGTTTGCTCTGAGGTCATTCTGTTGCCGTGTGAGAGGTCAGTGGTACCAATACCACCATGTTGGGTAAAAGATGTACGAGAGGAGCCACTCTCCTAGCCAAAGTAGTACTTGCAGTAAATAAAAAAAAAAAAAAAAAAAAAAAATAAAAAATCTGTGTCAAGACCAAACTATAAGTGAACATAAGTGTAGCTTCTTTAAAGTGTATTTGCTACTTGAAGCTGTTTCATCTCAAAGAAAAAAATCATTTACATATTTGAGAAGTCTTTACTGTAGAGGCTCCATTTCTGACAAAGTCCCACTTTTTTGTCTGGGCATTTAATCACCGTATCTCATGCATCTTAACTGCCTCCTGAACAACAGCAAGAAGTTTGATACGCATTGCTGGTGGGGACGTTGAACCTTCTTCCCTACAGTAACCTACCGTGGAGCATCCAGTCCATAGTTATGGTCAGAGGACTGCAGAGAAAGTCCCCTTTCAGACTAATTCTTGCTTAGCCATAAAGCAGGTGGTACTAAACTGTTCTTTTTGTTCACTGTGGACAGAACAAGGCTGAATGGGTCTAAAAAGCTAGAAAAGAAATTTAGGCTGGACAACAGAGAAGCCTTTCTTGCTGGCAGGGGTAGATGGGTGTGGTACGTCCATCACTAAGGATTTTTAAGGCAGGTCAGACAGTTTTCAAGAATGGTTTGAGACTAAATCCTGCCCTGGGCAAGGAGAGGTAAATGCGTAATCTGTTCTCCTCCAGCCCTATTTCCTCTCAGTTTTTTATAACAATTTAATGAATATGGCGTCCCTGTGTATATTACTGATCTGTTCCTATACGTGATTCATTTTGCCCTTGCAGCACATGCAGCAAAGAAATCCTGATAAACGGAACTTGTTCATGTATAAAGGAAAAATATGACCCTACTTTAAAGTGCATTCAAATTCTGAAAGGCAGTTCTGACATCATCTTTTACTTTTGTTTTTCTGTGTACAGGATTCTCAGGTGTTTGTGACGCATCTGTTTTTAACATCATTGCATAACATGTTTTTAAAAGTGCTGGAAAAATATTCCAGCTTTTTTTTTTTTCTTTAAAATTTCAAAAATCCATTACAGGATTCAACTTTTCAGTTAACAGGATTATACAGTAAAAAAAAAAATTAGACAATATTGCAGTCGAAATAGACTGCAGAATTCTTACACATACTTTATTTGTGCTTCAGAAATTTGGCAATTTAAGAAGTCTACCCTATCTGTCATTCTTAAGGTCATCACAGTATCTAAAATCAATTTAGCAAGAAGATACTTAGCCAGTGCTTTGAAGCGTCCATACATAAATATTGCAATGTCATTCCGTTGGTTGGGATTATGTTACTTGCTGAATGATTGCTACTCATTTTTTGCCAGTATAGTCAATAAAAGTGACACTGAGAAATCTGATCTTTCTTCTCTGCAGGCCAGCTTTGGGTGGTCTCCTTACATCATCTTTTCGGCAGCACCAGGAGTCCTTGGCAGCAGAAAGAGAAAGACGACGTCAGGAGAGAGAAGAAAGGTTACAAAGGATAGAACGTGAAGAAAGGAACAAATTCAAGTAGGAAACAAATTTGCTCTCAGTCTGTTGCTTTAATGTGTGGTGGATTTGTAAATCATGGAGAGAGTCAATTGCAAAATAATTGAGTTCATGAGTAGTTTGCGTGTCTTTTTAGATACCTTTCTTGATTGAAGTATCTTAAGAGCTGGTATATTAAATGCATCATGATGAATTTTGGCATTTAATAAACCATCAATTTTTTTAAAGTCAGCTGCATATTTGCCAATTATACTGGCTGGATACCTGCAGAAGCCAGGTTTTATTAGCTAATATACTCCTCAAAGCATAAAATCAGTGAAGTGTGGGGTTTGAAGTTGAAACAGTGGGAGGAAGGTATCAAGAAGGGAGGAAGGGACAGCACTGAGACATCTTTAATTTAACGTTCTGCAAAGTAGAAGTATTTTGCTGTCTTGGGATGTATGATAGTGTTTTTGAACTACTTTTTCCTGCTCTTCTGAACATGTGTCTCTTCCTCCTAGACACAGCAACTGACAGAAAGTAATTATCAAAATTATTGCTCAAACCATGGCCAGACAAAGGCCCCAGCTGAATATAGGACTTTTCATTTTCACATCTGAGAACACATTATGTGCTGTGAGATCCCAGGGTATGCTGCCTGAGGATAGTAAGAGACAAGCCCTCTCTTCTTGTTAAATCCATGCCTGGAAATCCCAGCACAGGCATTAGTGAAGACTGCAGTGGGCTTACGATAGATGAGGAGCCTATACCTGAAGTGGTTTGCCTACTCTCTGAAGAGTGTACACTAAGAAACCAGTTTCATTCCTCATAAACAGGAGTGAAAAGTAAACATATTTTAGTAGTTAGAAGGCATAGTGTAGCAATCTAAAGAATGGTAGGATGAACATTTCATAGCCTTAGGGTTGGTATTTATGGAAAAGATGGCACTGGTTTTCATGTGAGCTTGTTTATTAGTATGCAGGATTGTTTTCACTGTAATCATCTCTTTAGCAAGAAGTGGAAATGGTCAGTGTCATAGTGAATTTGGAAAGAGGAGTAACTTACTAGTGGTTGGTTGGTTGGTTGAAGGAGATATTCTCCTGGCTCCAGAAGATAGCTAGTTTAGAAGAAAATGAGAGGCGGAGAGAAGGTGGAAGAGCACCATAATAGGATCTTTGGCAGCCAACAGCTGCCCAAGTTCTCCTGAAACAGAAACAATCAGGTCTCAGTCTTCAAGCATCTTCCAAAAACTCTCCCTCTAAGTGGTATCATAAGGCTGCAGCAGGCTGCCATGGACAGCCAACATGATCTTTCAGAAAGGAAACTCCCAGACCAAAAAAGCCACCAGGACATTTGGCAGCTTGACCTGTTTGAATAACAGATCTGCACATTTCACTAGAGGTTGGCTAGAGTAGTTGTTCTGTCACTAAAGCAGCTTCCTTAAAGTCAGAAAAACAAATTATTTAAAATATACATCATCCCATTACTCGAGAGTCAGAAACTGGTTAACTAAACGTCATGATGGTGTTGCATATTTAAGGTGACAATTTTTTCAATGCCTGGTGTTTTTCATCTCCTAGATTTGAGTTCTCTGGTCACCCGAAAGCTATAACTTGTGTTTGAGTAGAGGGCCTCCAAAGCCACCAAACTTTGCAGACAGACAGCATCCCACAGTTGATTAAACAGTCTGGTGGGAGGAGTATAAAGCCACAGCAGTCATGGACACTTTTGTAAGAGTACTTGGGGATTACATTATCGTATCATCAGTCTGGCTAGAAATCCAGTCTCTGAAGATGTATTTTTGATTAAAAATAGCACTTGCAATTCACAGCCTTTAAACTCGTGAGCAGTACTGGATTTACCATCATGACTCATTTGTTATCTCATTCTTTCCAAGTCTGCCTCGAGATCATTGCACTGGGTTCTGGCACCATTATTGACAAATTGAGGATAATTTAAAGGAGAGCATCAGCAGTTGTGAAAGAGCTTGGTTTTAGGAGAGGTGTTAAAAGGCTTCATAAGCTATTGCTAGCAAAAGGAATGCTTTGCATAATGAACGTTTGTCTGAGTAGAAGGACTATTTTACCCATTGAATGTATAGAACAATATGTCCTAAAATACAAGGGTTATTCTTCAGCTGTCGGGAAGGGTGAAAGTTGTCAGAGGGAAAGGAGTAATGTTAAAATTTGCCTCCTGAAAAATTCCTACATTTTCTTTTTTTTCCCTTGAAGTTATTACCATAGCTATTATAATTCCAAAGAATGCTCTAAAAATATGATAAAAGCATAAGCAATTCAGGGATTCAAAGGATGTGCAGATAGCCTGAAACAGTAATGTGTGTTTTCCCCATTAATGGACTTTTGAATAGCACTTGCAAGCAGATGTTTGATAGCTATTGGTATAGTAGATGATAAGTAATTCATTTGATGACACACTCTAAAGAGAAAAAATAGTGTTTTATTCATAAATAGAGTAGTTCTGAAAATCTTTCTGGTACTCACAGGTTACTCTGTGGAAGAATTGAACAGATAAGGTGATAGTCTCATCAGTTTTGTCCACCAGATTCAACCAAATATTAAAAATGTATTTTAAGGAACTATCTCACTGTGATATTGAGGCAGTCTGGACATTCACTGGGTTCTGCTGTGCTCTGAGTTAAATTTGCATCCATATTTGTGTATGTGACAGGCCTGCCTGAAATCACAGTGCTCAGGTGTCCAGCAAAGTTGACTTGGCAAAAGCTAAATATATGAGTTACTTGAGGAGCTGTGGGAGGTGCAGAGGTTTGTATCTAAAACTCAGGGTGAAAAATAAAGAAGTGAAAGGTTGTTACCTGTCCAGTGATCCTCTGTGCACCTTGTAAGACCAAGGAATTGCCCTACTCAGTAATGCCAGTCCGCTGTCCCATTTCCAACCGTGGCAGCTGAAACACACTGAGGAAAGGTAGATTAGAAAGAGGGCCGATACGGTAAGCTCCCTGCCTTGGTCTAACCTGCCAAGTGCCGCAGTCACTGTTTCAGGGCATTCTAGATGGAACAACTGAGGAATGGTTTAATAGCCAATGATGTGCCTCCTCGTTATGGATGAGTCCAGTTCATTGTATCTGATTTCAGATACCAGGTTTCAAAACGTGCTTCAAGTTCTTAACTTTTTGGGGTTTTTTTATAATTACTTGTAACGACCTTCCGAACTACATATTTGGTGTACGCGTACCTGTGGTGCATGCATGGATAAGTGAACACACATACTTTGCACCCTTTTTTACAAAAACAAACAAGTAATTTTTGTCGACGACAGCCTTCATTGTCTCTGATCAGCTTGTTTGTACTGCTCTTGGTTTCTCCTGCTGTACCTATACTTCTGTTACTTACCCTATTCTAGTTTCCTCTGCAATTTACTGCAATTCTCTTTTTAGCCGTGATTATTTAGACAAAAGAGAAGAACTAAGACAAGCAAGAGAAGAGAGGTTTGTATATAATGCATCCATCCTTCCCTTTGGTTGTTTGCACTTCCTATATTCTTTACTGTGGAGCTGTGGTGTTATTTACATTTTTAACTCTGCATGCACAGAACACTTTTCTTCCAAAAGACTTCTATAAGAAAGCGGTCATTTCATTAAAGAGGAGAATGAAGTCCAGATGTAAGCACAGCAATAAATGAAGAGCAGTGGGACTGGAATGCATAAGAATGATTGATGATCTATCTTTTATCTATTTGTGTGGGGAAATAAGCTTACTCTGTTTGCCTCAGAAATTTGCCCGAATTTAGCATAGTTATAAATTGAATAAGCCTGTGTTTCTCACCCAGTGGGTCCCAAGCTTTCTGGAGGGTCAGAAAAGGCAACTGAGGATAACGGAAATTGGGGTCACAAGCATTGCAAAATTGTAGTCACAGGCTGATGGAAATGGTTCTGACCTACTCCCAGCATAGTTTTATCTTTCAGGGCCAAGTTTTCTATGCCGGTCTCTTTAAACACCCGAGTAAATTACAAAGCTTAGCAGTGTTTATCACTGGGGTATTGGTTTAGTTTTATTTAAATAGCTTATTTAAAGCAACTGAGCTTTTTTTTTTCCTTTTTTTTAATTCAATTAAATGGTTTAGAAACTCTGGGCTAGGCTGGGAGCTATGTGCTTATGAAAGCACATTTTTCAAGGAATGCTTGACTAAAGACCTTTGCCTTTCAGTAGCTTCATCTCTACCTCCACTAGTAATTATACCCTGGAGGGAGCTCTTGTTTTTACCTGGAAATTATGCACATTACTGAACAAATACTAGATGAAAAATCATCCAGATTGTTTCAGTTCTGCTTTTATAGTCCTCTAGAAGTTACTCTCTGGAGATACTTTTGGTTTGTCAAGAATTGGAATTACATTATCAAAGTGTGAGAGCGGCCATCTCAGAAATCCTTGTGTTGCTGCATTTTCATTTTGGGGATTGTTTTTGGTTTGGGTTTTTTTGTTTTGGTTTGGGTTTTTGTCATAAAACCATCATACAGGAGGCAGTTCGTTTCTGCAACTAAAGTCTGATCCATTGTGGCTGAAGTAGCTAACATCAAAAAATTATTTTGACATCTCTAAGAATGAGAAAAGGTGGATGAGCCAAAGCAGCTACAGTTTAAAGCATTTTCTGAGTGAAACACGTCTGAGCAGATAAGCATTGTACACTGATCTCAGCTGAGCAAAACCTTTTACAGTAAGCGTTGCTCATAAGCAAGATCTGAAACAAATCAGAAGCGAGCTCTCCAGCACTTTCATGTTGAAAAGGAATATGCCAAGTAAACTGGAGTATTCTGGGGGAAGCGTTCACCAGCAGGGCATCACTGCTGTGCAATCTGAGAAAGTTTCACTGGTCATTAGGAATGTGTCTTTATCCTTGGGGCTCTTTTGAACTGAAATGTTAAACTATCAGTTCTTCCTCATAAAGAGGACAGACACATTTGCTTTGACAGCACATAAATATTGGACAAAACTTCTGCAAGTGAAGTCTTGCACCAGTAGTTCATTACACTGGCCTTCTGTAACTTATTTTTCTTTAACAGACACCTTTGCACGACGAAGTTTCATTTCCTATAGCAAGTTGCACATTGACTTGTTTTAAGAGAATGAATGGACTGTAAGAAAATGCTATATCCAAGGTCCTAAAACCCTAGTTAAAATCTGGATTGCATGTTTCCTCCGTATCAGTCTGGAAAAGTAGGAGATAATATTGATTCCTATGAAAAGCACTGTTTTGTCTAAATACTGTCAAATCTTAGGGTCATTCTGCGAATTATTGTGCCACCATGGAGCACCAGAGTACAGGCACCCACTTTTCCAGTGGCTCTGGGGTGGCCTCAGTACACGGAAGAAAGATTCCTGAAGTTTCAAGGGGCCTGAGTGTAACTCAGCACCATTCATTTCATGTGTTCTTGCCATTCAATGATTTGAGGCCTTTTTTACTTTGCTTGGTTGGGTGTTTTCCAGTGGTAATTTAAAAATAAACCCAAGAAAGGTGATCTCCCAAGCCACCTCTAGTGTGATTTACAGCTCAAGTGCTCTCAACCTGATGACTTTGTTGGTACGTAAATACTTTAAGTTGCCCTCAGGGCATTGCTCAGAGACCTAGAAACCTCACAATGATATTTTCATCTACTTGAAGATGAGAAGTGGAATGTCTTGTTCACAAGATATACCAAATGGATAGCCCACGGACTTTTGGCTCTCTGTCTATAGAGAAGAGTCGGCACAGGCGTGATGATGTCTGCAGGTTTCCATGATTTAAAGGAATGCGGCAGTATATACAGAGGCAATGTGTCAGTCCTGTAGTGAAGGAACTGACTGCAGCAGAGGGGTGGTACCTAATCCTTTCAACTCTTTCAGCTTTTGGTCTTCATGAGACCTTGTGTATTTGATGCTGGCATTCGTTCGTTGTTAAGACATTGGGAAGAAACAAAAAAATAACCTAGATATATGTCATTTATCAAGTGTGAAGCACTAATAACTGATTCTTGAATTATTTTTATTTCTCAGTAAAATTGCTGTATCTGCTTATTAGGCTTCCTACTTGATAACTAGTTATGCTGGTGTGCTGCCATAAGAGTTGCTGTTCTGGTTCCCTTTTTTCTTTCAATATAACAAACAGATACATCTTGAGAAGGCACATCTTGGTGATAGTCCTCAGCTTTGCTGGTTGGCTGTGCAGCGCATGGCTACAGAAGCTAAAATGTTAAAGCAGCTGAAAAAGAGCTGAGGGCAGTAAAACATTGTAGTTCCCCCTATCGTAGAAGGGATCCAGCCAGATCTTTGTTGTAGTCTGTTGGCAGACTGCGAAACCCTCCTCGGCAGCAGCCAGCTGGGCTGTACCTGTTTGAGCTAAGTGATCAGCGTGAGTGGCTCTTTACGAGTCTGAAGGTCCCATCTGGTCGACTTGTGAGGAGGCGGAAGGTGCAGTACGTAAGTGACCAACGTCAAAAGGAAGAATGGCTTCGTGAACTGTAACAAAACTTTATGCTAATGCCAGCAAAAGGCTTTCTCCTCTATTGAAAAGGCAAAAATCATTCTCGAGAATTGGCTTCATGTGAGAACTGTAAACAGTTCCTATTTTATAACCATACAAGTATGTGGCTTGTTATATTTTCATCCAGAGTCTGTAGGGGTTCTCTTTCTTGCAGAATTTGTTCAAAGCCTGTGCATACCTCTGGAGAAATAAAAGAAAATGAGTTTGTTCCTCATTATTGCTGTTTGCAGTAAAGCAAATTACCTCTGAAAACACAAGGGCTGCTCTTCAAAGACACATTTCTATGCTCTATATGGATGTTTGCAAATGTGCATGCGTGTGTGGCTACCACATGTACTAAGCATGTTTGTTACCACATATGGCTGACTTCTTTACTCTGCCTGCTTTTAATGCATCCTTGTACACTAATTTGGGCTGTCAGTGAGGCAGAAGGGGGGAGAAGAGGTGTTCCCCGTTACGAAGTGTTTACAACAGCAGGTTATAGGAGGATGACCACAGCATTTCGAGGACACAAGCAGTAGTCTTGATTAACCTGTTTAACAGTTCACTTGTGGGTAAGACAAACAGTCTAAAGCCCAGTCCAGCTGTACTCATGAATTTATTCCTTAGCAAATAATGGTGGATAAAATTAGCAGACATCTGGAAGAGGCACATATTTCAAAGTTATTTTGGTCGAAATGTATAAAGCACACTATGAAGAATATGATTGGTAGCTGGTCTTAATAAACAGTTAGTGAGTTCTGCCTGCCTAAAATGCAAAACAGATGTATCTTTGTTCTTTTAAAGTGACTTTGATGAATAAACTACATGTGACGTCAGGTCCAAGCTATTGGATGTCTGAGTCCGGCAGAGAAATTTTTTAGAATAAAAAAAAGAAAACTTTCCATTGTAGACTCTGGAGAGAACAAAGTGAATTCCAGTGCATTGCTCTCAGAGCAAATAGAAGCAGGTTCAGAGACTTTAGATAGTCAATCCAAACATTTATTATTGGTATTGTTTTCAGGGAGATCTGTTTTTGTCTGCTGCACTGAACCATTTTCCTCTCCTTGCAGCAAGTCTCAGACTTTGGCTATTTGCATCAGTATTGAGGGGCTCTGGCTTTGGAGGTGTTTTTTTTTTAATTTATTTTTTTTCCCCCCCTCCCATTTTAGTTTTGGGAGAGGGAGGGCTGGGGGGAGGAGGAGAAGGAGGAGGGTGAAAAGGAGGACAGACAAATGCTTCCAAAAGGAGAAGGATTATGCAGACACAGTACTATACCTAAGGACTCTTTAACTCTGCTGGTTTTTGCTTTTGTTTTGTCATGAGCAATTTAATGTTTTTCAGGGCAATAGTCTTTGCTTTGGTGTGCATTTTTTGGCAGATTGACCAGGCAGGCAGTTTAGTGCTGTACCCCTCGTGTCAGGAAGTCGGCTCATTCTCTGCAGGTGTTTCATCCATAAACAAGCATCAGCCACAGACTTCTTTTTCTTTACGGAAACCCTCTGGAATTTAACTTTCAGATACAAATACTTGGAGAGGTTGGCAGCAGAGGAGTATGAGAAGGAGCTGAGGAGTCGGAGCATAAGCCGAGGCAGAAGTGAGCTGTCCTTGAACCTGAGATCTCCTTCAGCCCCATCCTCACCAGTACCCAAGTGCGTCAGCCCGGCATCCATAGATTCCCAGGAAGACCTGAAGACCCCTTCCACCCCTTGTGGGACCCCTCAGCCCTCAGAAGGTAAGTGAAAAGGAGGGCAGGGGACAGAACGGTGGTTTTATCACAGTTTCTCTTGGGCTAGCAGTGATTTTTGATTCATGAGTGCAAGAATATAACCTCTGAGGTGCCAGAGTAGAGGGTCTTATATTGTTTCATGCTGTCTTCCTAAATTGCCTCTTTTTTTTCCCTAGATTTGGATGCCTTCTAGTCTATTCAAGCAAAGAATATACTGCTAATTGCTGCTATGATTTATGGTATCATTGTCTGTTGCTATTAGAATGGAATAATTGGAAAATACAGCATACAGAGGGTCTTAATTTTAGCATCATGTTCCTTGTATATTAGAAGTTACTGAATACTAAACCAACAAAATTCCTGCCAACAGATTTTGCTTATGTGGTTTCTCTGAAAGAAATGCAACAGATGAATGCCAAGATTATAATAACCTTCCAGCAGAGCACAGGCTGAATGGGACAAACAGAAAAGGTCTTGAATTGAAGGCAGGGAGGGTATGTTGGTTATTTTTAACACCAACAAAAACTCTTAAAATTGTAGCACAAGTAGTAAAGGACTTAAAAGAGACCACAGACAATTAGTAAAAAGGAAAGTATAATTAGTGTTTGCACAGTTGGTTTGCTGTCATATAATTTATTGGTGTGCAGAGCAATATTTTTTGTGTGTGCACGTCATTCTCCCACTTGCTTCATGTACCCCTGCTTCGGTCCTCAAAAAATCACCCACCATACAGATTTATATTTGTGCCACATGATGTTGCATTAACATTGGGAGCTAGAATGCATGTTGAGGGTGAATTATCGCCATCATTCATTTTTATTTTATTTTATTTCCTGCTATGTGCTGTTGGTGATTAATGCATTTGTAACTTGCACCGCTTGGTTTTATTGAGTGTTATGGCTGGTAGCATGCTATAAAGCAAGGCAATTTAAGAAAAAGTTACAAATACTTGAATGTTGCATATGTTTATCCTCACCATACTAAGTAGGTGAAGTTTATTTAATTTAGGTTTATGTATTTTCCCAATTCTATTCCCAGTTTTCTTGTCTGGCACCTTAAAAGTCTCAGTGGAATCATGTGAACTTAAAAAACACGGATATTTTCCTGTAATACTGATATTCAGAAACATCCAGTTGCCCCTTTTTTTTTGAGTGCAATATTGCTTTTAAAGCAAATCAGCTGGATTTTTCCACCATTAGGATTTCAGAGCTGGGTAGGGAGCAAGTATCTCTTTTATGATGATTATTTTAACATATTTCTCCTGGAAGCATTCAAAAAAAATTGCAGCATGAAATGGAGCAGCACAATCCATTTGGAGAATACATTTAGAGCAGGTGTACAGGGCAACTTCAGGCAGCCAGAATATGGCAAAGATATCAACACGTGGGTAGGCGGGACATCTCCACTAAAACTCCTGGCTATACCAGTAGGCATCAGAGGGCAGCACCTGGAAGCCTGGCAAATAGACTGCAAAGAGAGAACACATGGATGGGGCAGGGTAAGCCTCCAGCCAAGGGCAGCTGCAGGCAGATGGCCAGGACAGCACCAGAAGAGGGGCTTGAAATCTGCGTACTCCAGTGGGAGCTGTGCATGAGGAAGGACTGCTGTTTCAGGCTTACCAAAAGCATTGGAAAGGTCAGATGAAGTAACGAGCATGTGGGCAGGGCAGGCGCTCTCATCTGGAGGTGGCCAGATTACTGGATGTCAGCCAAACAGCTGGCAAGTTTATTTATAGATTTTGTGCCATGGCCTCTAGACAATTATCTGAGTTCCTTATGCTCCGTAATGAATTAAAATCTCAACTTTTACTGTCTTTAGGGAATGTTATGAATCCCACTTAATAGATAGAAAAAATGAGGCATTAGCTTGCTTAGCCCATTGTAGGAAGGCTGAAATAGAGCCACGGACAGAAACCAGACTACTTGCACCCCAAGCAGTTGCTTTGAACATGGGGGTCATCACCACCTTCCTTAAGAAGGAAATGGATTTTGTCTGGAGAACTTTGTCCCATGCTGTGAAATGTCTCAGTATCTTTACCCAGAATATAAGCCTGGACTTACTGAGCTGAAGTGTTTTCTCATATAAAACAATTGGTTCCACTAAAGTAATCAAGTCTTGTAAGACTCACTCTTGTAAAACTTGGGGTATGGCATTCAGAGGAAATGAAGGCAGTCCCATAACTGCAAAATGGAACTTAATATTTTTTTTTTCAGAGCAGCTACTTCCTCTTTTGTAATTTCATTGGAGAGTATTTTATGAAGTGCACATGTGCAGTAAAGGAGAGCAACAATAACCAAGACATCTCTGAAGTCAATCCACAAAGGAATTGGAGAGAAACCCTTCTCTGAGAGGAACAACTTTTTTAGCACTTGAGGAAGTAAGCAGACCAACCCGAGTGCACACTGTGGACAATAGGAAACCTTATGAACATATTAGTAGCTGAGTAGGGTTCAAATACTGCCTAAAGTATGACTGGTGAAAGCATCTCTGCAGATGGAGAAGCACCAGAGTGTGAGGGCATGGTGAAGCCCTTGCAGTGCCAGTTGTAGAGCCAAAGGAATCACAGTACAGAAGTTCAGAGGAGGAACTGGGGTGGGGGACAAAGAAAAGATCATTTCTAACTTGATGAAGAAAGAGCAAGTTCCCTACCGGTGATCACTCTGTGCTAGTTTTTACCTTCACAAGGAATGGGACGATAAGATTGGGGTGGGGGTGAAGAGAGAGAGTTCCTGCTTTTTTTTTTGTCCCGTGCTGGAGGAACTGAAGGGAGGTAACAACCAAGACTTTAAGCGATGCCCGAACAATTGAACCAAGAGGGCTTCAGACTTACTGTGTGCATCCTCAAGAGACACTTAGCATACATATCTCCCAGCTCCAAGTAGAGACTAGAGAAAATAGATGAAGATGCGGTTGCCTAATCTCTTACAGCGGCAGGGGATTAGATGTGGGCCCAGAGGGATGTTTGTTCTCTCTGAGGGCTTATAGGACTGGGGGGTTGAGGTCTTATCAGCAGGTACTAAGGATACTACATCTTGTGTCTGCTTCAGAGTGTGTTTATGGTTGAGTATCGAAAGAAAAGTCATTTTCCTCCATGTCCCTGTATAGCATTAGAAGTTCATAACCATCTTTTTCAGAAGGGAGCAGCTTGCTGTCCTCTCTAACCTCTCACTCAACAGAGGGCTATCGCCAGCATCTGATCAGATTGTAGCAGATTAGGATGCTAGGGCCTTACGTGGCCAAGTCTTGAAAATGTCAGAAGATGCAGATTACACCATCTCTCAAAACGAAAAAATCTTTACACATTCCTTGAGGGACCCTGCTACCATCTCTTTTAGAGATGAGGTTACACAGCTTCTTTGGGAGATTTCATTCTTCCAAGAAGTCTTTGCATTTTTTTCCAGTAATACTTTTGTAGAGATTAAGACCTGGCAGAAAAAGAAATGGGCATATGACTCGAAACTTAGTCCTTAAAGCCACATTCAGTTTTTCTCCTCCTGATTAATCCAATTGCAAGTAAAACTTCTCATTTAAAGACTGCAACTGCCTCATTTGTTTTAATGGGGGGGGAGGGGGGAAGGGTGAGGAAGCTAAGCCTTGAGAAAAGTGTGAAAAATAGCATATGCAAGTGAAAAGAGATAACTAATGAATCTGGCAATCCCAATTTAGGTTTTAAGAACTGAATGTGTGTAAGAATTGGGATTTTTTTTTTTTTAAATGTTGCTTATAATGGCATCATACTTCTTAATGTTTTAGGAATGCTACCTTTGCTGTTGATGCTTTTTGATATGACCATGCTTGCTTCCCTGGGTCTTTGCACTCTCTGCCAGCAGAAGTCTGAAGACGGGGAACAGATCCTGGTCTGTTTTCTAATTCTGTTGCCACCTGCAAGGTTGCCACTTAGAGTAGTGCCTTGTCTGGTGTGAAAATTGATCCGGTAGATACGGGACTGAAAGTTCCAGCTCAGTTCAAACAGGCCACCACTAAGCATTCACTGAGAATTGTATTTTTTAATATGTTTAGAAGTTCTCACTGATATCAGCCCAATGGATTACATGATGGAACTGCAAGTGATAGACACTTGTCTAGCTCACTGGCTTTGTCCTCTGGCTAGTGTTTGCTGACAGATTTGATTTTTGAACTGCTTTTTAAGGGAAGCGCCTCTGGACTTAGCTCACTATTCATAAGTTATTTGGGTTATTGGGGGATTGTTTGACATGATCCCTAAAGAGAGAGAGAGAGAGAGACACTGTCAAAGCGAGTGTCAACATATCCCTGTTTTGTTCTGGAAGCGGTTAGATTTTGATACTCCTTGAACTCAAAAGAGCAGCTTGTGTCAGTATATTGCTCTTTACTCTCTGTTATATGTTGTATTCTGCTAAGATATTGCATATTTCTGGTATGTATGGAATATTTCTTGTTCGAAGAGTCTCCCCTGACTTTATCCTATTGAATCTTCAGTGTAGCTTCATGATGACAAAGGTGCCATAAGCATTAGAAGTCCTGGCCATGTTTTAGTCAACTTTTCTCCACCTGAGCTGTTGCAGTTGACCTTTTTGGTTATTGCATGACAGCTTTTGTTTTAGAGAGAAGCACCTAAAATTAACATGAAATTGTGATGAATTGACGACATTTGTATGTATGCACCATTGCAGCGTGGCAAGCTCAGAGTCTTTCATGCTACAGTACCATGTTAGTTCCAGGAACTCCTGAAGGATTCCTAAGCTTGCATCTCAGTTATACTCAAATCTTGGCTTGACTTTAAAATGCCCTTGTGCTATACCTACACACTGACAGCTGTGATCAGAAACACACCACTGGGATTCAGAGTGTCTGCCAACTTCTTTCCAGCTCTCTAAACTTTGATTCTCTCATAGGCAGGGTCAGGCATACAGTCGTAGGTAAGCTACGTTTAGAGACACAAGGCATGTGCAGAACTGCTCGCATCTCTAATGTTAGGCTTTTAGATGTTGTCTATGTAGAAGAGGGAGAAAGGTAAGCTTCTAGCTGGGAGTCTTTTAAAACATCTTAGAGATTTGAGTGAGCACGGGCTATATATTAAATATTATCTGTACATTTCTTTTATATAAATGTATTATATATGCATGTCTGGTTATTTAGCTACAAATTTAAAATCAATTGTGAAAGTGTAGAAGCTTAGCTTCAATGAAATCAGTGGCAAAAAAATAATTTGCTTTTTTGTACGCTTAAATTATATGAAATTAAGTGGAATCGCGTGGCGCTGAAGATGCATTATTGAAAGCTAGTTTAAAAACATATGTGTTATTGTAAAGATAGGCATGGGCATTGTTAGAAATCCTTATTCTTCATATGGGTGTCTCAGAAAATAGGATAGGCATGCAACATGAAACAGTCTTAGGAAACCATTGTGACCTTTGTTATTTTGGCTTATACTTTCTCAGGATAAATCTATTTACCTGCTCCCTAGAGGACTGAAATGTTTGGATTGCTTTCCAATGAGATGCTTTTTTCCCTTCAAAGATACATGTAGTTCTTGAAGAAAGTCTCATCATATATCATGCGATCCAAAGACCGTGACAACTCCAGAAGGTTCTTTTGCAATATTCTAATGGAAAGAAGTTAACAGAGAGGAAAAAACAAGTGTGACTTGGTCATAGTAGTTCAGCCACCCAACACAAGATTTAGTACAGAGGGAATTTGGGGAGTATGCAGAACTAACATGCATGCCCATTTTCATCACTCTTGCATGGCCATTTCAGTTTTCAGAAAATTGTGAGCTGCTTGATGTGAATATGTGTGGATGCTCTTCAGTTTCTTTGCAGCATGCAGAGAATATTTGCATGTGAAAATCTGCTGGTTTAGCTAAAAATCATGAAGGCGAACGGATGAATTTCACTGTCAGTGATAAAGCAGGGAAGAAGAAACCAGGTGTACTATCAACAGTGTTTACTGTGTGCCAGCTGATAAAAAAAACTCATCGTATGCCATATGCCAACCAACTGGAAACTAAATTTGTGCCATATGCCAAGCAGTTGGAAACTCTGTTCAGTTTTGCTATGGCTATTCTGAAGCAAATGTGCATGAAAAAACATATGGTTTTTGTCAGCCAAATGTATGACAGTGCCATTTCCAGACTGTGCCATTCAACTGTGTTAATAAAACTAATATTTGTATTTTTTCGTTGAAGTGTTCCTCATCAGGTGAAAAAGGAATTCTTCCAGAACCCAAAGAAAATTCAACCAAAAGCCAAAACCTCCCTCCTTTTTTTTTTTTTTTTTTTAAAAAGATCTCTTCCCTCCTGGCTCTGTCTAGGCACTGAGTTGTCAATGTCATGCTCAGGTGGGATGCCCATTTTCTGCGGATTTGTTCAAATCCTTATGCGAGTCCAACACTCCAGCTGTGGAAGTATGTATAAAAACAGTGGGCTGGCTCCAGACAGCAAGCGAGGGGGTTTGCCAGGCCACTCTCACATGCAATGCTGTCGTCGCACAACATTCATCAGTCTGTTGCTCCTAATGTTCAGCATGCCGTGGACTTGCTTTTTATTTTCTTTCCATAAGGCACTTGTACAACTTTCACATCGCTCTCGTTTAGAGGGGTGAGCCTGAGAAGACTCCGCCATTAAGTGAATCTCTTTCTCCCGTTGTTCTCTCCGCCAGTGAGTGCCAGTGAACCCGAACCAGAGACAGAGACAGAACCAGAACCAGACCCAGAGCAGGAGGCTGAGGCCGAGCAGGGAACGGAGACACCCAAGGAAATAGAGGCTGCAGAGGTGGGACCAGAGAGTGAGGTGGAGCAAGGACCAGAGAGAGAGACAGAAGAAAGTGCAATACTCAGTGAAAAAGAGAGGCAGAATGAGGAAGTGAATGAAAAAGACAACTGCTCTGCATCCAGCATATCCTCAGCAAGCAGCACTTTAGAGAGGGAAGAGAGAGAGGACAAGTTAACCAGTGACAATGAAACTGGTAAAGTGAAGCTTTTTCAATAATGAAGGGTTTCTGGTGGAAAAAAAAAATGTTAAATTAGCAGCTCTGTTGTTGTGTTAATTAGCTAACAAACTCTTGGTGCCTATCTAAGACTTCCATCACCCTGGCCAAATCCGTTTCCATTCCATGCTTGGAAATCCACAGACCCTGGTGGGGTTTCTGTGTTTGACGGACAGTAAGGCCTTGATGAAATGAGGTTTGCTTTGACCCGAGACCATTTTCTTCCCTTAAGATGAATGTATTAACTATTGAATCATCGTGTTGCAGCGGCTTGCATCTCTAGATCCCGGAGAATTTATTTGGGTTTTCTACACATAAAACAACGAGAGGAGGGGCCCTGCTGACACCATTTGTCATGAGATTCCAGATACATTTTCTCATCCTACTAGCTTTTAGTGGAAGAGGAAGGGCAATGAGGACTGGGATGTTTGTTCCCCTCGAGTTTCTGGTCTTGGTTAGACTTCGGAAAGCAGAGAGGGATACATACGAGCTGCTGAAGATAGGTCTGGGCTGTGGCCATCCTTAGCTCATGTGGAGGATGTGCATGAAATAAACCTTGTATGGAAAAGACCGGTTCTGTAGTGACCAGTCAGATATGCCACCAGGCACCTGTAAAAGGTAGCCCAGACTGAAAAACACCGTAAGAACCAGTTTTCTGCCTGGAGAGATAATGACTACCAGAGCTTGACACACAGACCAAGTAGGGAGTAAAAGGCAGATTTTGACCTTCATTGATTAATTACTCTTTTCTACTTTTTAATAGAGAGGTAGAGGAATGTAATGTAATTAGGGCATTTGGTTTCCGAGTCTTCTTAGGGCCAAACAGGGGAGTGCATTGTCCTAAGTTTTCTAAATTCTAAATAAGAAGACAAGAATTGCTTCACAGTGTGAAATAGTCTTGCTCTTTCCTGAATGATGACATTGAATCACAGGGATTACCTCACAGAGATAAACTGTCAGATTGTACTGTTCATGTTTAAACCCTATCACTTTTTTTTCCTGGGAAGCATTAAGTTAATTTTATTCTAAATTTAAGAGCTATCTTCTTTTCAACCAGCACCAAGATCGAGTTACTTAGGATGCTCTTAAAGAACATAGATGGATATATATGTAGGAAAAGGAGGGGAAGTATGACAGATGGAGGATGTTGTTACACTGTGGCATAGTCCAAAGTGCAAGTAAGGGAGAACAGGTTACAGGTTTTTTTTTCCCCTCATCTTGTCTGTTCCCAACCTGTTACCACTCTAATTAAAGTGCTTATGTACTTTTTCTTAAAAGCTAAGAAATGTACCTTGTTATCAAAAAATCAACATCTTAAAATTTACCTATGTTACCAGTAGACCAAAGATTTATTAGGTTGTGCTCTGTAGGAGGTCTCATGTAGTGAGTTGTTTGCTCTCTAGTTGATGAGGAGATTCAGAAAGCAAACGAGAGCGCTTTTCTCCAGCAGTTCTCACATTCCCAACAAGCAGTTTGCCATTTATTAGGTAGCCCGTTAGTTTTGCCCAGATGCATTAAGGACAAAGGAATAAAGCCTTTGGTCCTGGCTCCTCCTTCATTAGCCATCCTGTTGAATTTGGCTTCCAACAAGTCTTCTTTCTCTGATGGTATTTCAAAGTTTTACCTGTGGAGAAGAGGGCAGAACAGGCCACCAAGGTAGCAAGAGTATTCACAGCAATAATTTTTGATTGCCTACGGCAGATGGGGGCAGGCTTGGGAAGCCCAAATTAGAGATTGTGTCTGGTGATCACAAATTCGTTTTAACATGCTCTGGTCAGATGTGTCATTATCTCAATCCTTCTTGCCCCACGTTGGGTGCCAAAAAGGACTGTTGTGGTTTAATTGCAGCCAGCAACTAAGCACCACACAGCCGCTCTCTCACTCCCCCCTCCAGGTGGGATATGGGGGAGAATTGGAAGAGAAAAAGCGTGGGTGGGTTGAGATAAAGACAGTTTAATAGAACAGCAGAGGAAACGAATAACAATAATAATGGTAAGAATTCGTATACCGAATGTGCAAAGCAAGTGATGCACAATGCAATTGCTCACCACCTGCCGACCAATGCCCATCCCATCCCCCAGTAGCGATTGCAGTCATGCCCCCTGCCTCCCGGCCATGACGACCTATGGTATGGAATAGCCCTTTCGCCAGTTGGGGTCAGCTGTCCTGGCTGTGCCCCCTCCCAGCTTCTTGTGCACCTGGCAGAGCATGGGAAGCTGAAAAAGCCCTTGACCAGTCTAAGCACTATTTAGCAACAGCTAAAACATCAGGGTGTTATCAACATTATTCTAGTACTGAGTTGAAAACACAGCTTGTTGCTTTCAGGAAAACTTTTCAAGTCTATCCTCCTTGGGATTGCTTTGTTTAAGTATCAGTCTTAGGAGAAATAGAAAGCTACTTATATTCCCTCATTTCCCTCAAGAGAAAAAGAAATGATTGCACATTGGAACAACATAGCAATATTTGACATTCCCTTAACAGTCATCTTTGACCGTGTTTCTCTTGCTGTGTGGTGTCGCCACATGTATTTAGGCCCAGTCAGCAGCTTGAGGCTTGGTGGAAAGTGGTGTTCTCTCCTCAATGCCGTGCTCGCTCTGAGCATCTAAGCCTTCCCAAGGCGGCCATATCATCAGAAGAGACGGGCCGTGGCGCAGAAGATACAGCAGGGCTTCTCTCGGCCCGGAGAGAAGCGCTCTCTCAGCTACTAGGAAGAAAATTAACCCTACCCCAGTCAAAACCAGGACAGGGAATTTTGATGAGCGGTTTCGTAAAGGAATTAAGTCCTGGAGGATCCCAGCTGGTGAAACAGAGAGCGGGTAGGTCATGTGGAATTTGTAGAAGGGATCCTGAGAACAATCTTGAACATCTTTGAAGGAAAAGTTGGGAGTAGGGGGAATCCTCTGTGAGCGCTCATCTGGGTAAAGTCTGTGGTGTGGGGAAGGAGTTGTCTAGTCGCATTGCCTAGTGAAACTGCCTCAGAGGCAAATCTAAGAAACTACCTCAGGTGACAAATCTTGGTGAGAAAGCAAACCCATGGATAAAGGCTGAGGAAAACTAAATAGATGGAAAATGGAAGCAGTCAAGCCTCCTGTAGGAAAGTAGAAAGAAATAGTTTTGGAGGTTGTATCCATTGCTGAACAAAAGTCATTCTTTTGTCTGGGCTTAAGCCTCTGGACCCATTTTAAAATGTGGTTTAGAGGTTGATCTGAATAGAGGTGAGAGTTATTTGTGTCCATATGCTTTGTGCTGTGAAGACCCATCCTACCTTTTAACATGGTGTTATTTTGAAGGGGTGGGGGGGAATTGTGGGACCCTGGATATGGATCTCACCAAGGGGACACCTTCTCAAAGCACAGGGCTAGATGTTGTGGTAAGAAAGCAACTCTGTTGCTGAAGGAAGATAAAAAATGGTAAAAATCATAAAATATGTTTAAAACTCTAAACTATGGGAAAAGGTGGGAGCATAAGGGAAGAAACAAAGATAAAATGGAAGTTTAAGAGAAAGGGCAACTGACAGTTATAGAAGAAAATCTTTAACCACAAGGGGCTAAAAGGAAGGCAGGCTAGCAATCAAAATAAAATGTGTTTAAGAAGTAGAAGTTATAAAAAATACATTGATAAAATGTGTAAAGACTATGGGGAACAGATGGAATCCCATACAGGAAATACAGCAAGTGTGAAGAATTATCTTTGTCCATGTTTAATCACTTCATCTGATGCCCACTGGAAAAAGAAGCACCATAATTCTGAGACACATTATCCACATTGGTTAGCAGTATTATATTCAGGGAAATGTAGTCAAAGAGATGCTTACATCATTTATTTTTACAATTTGACTGCTATAGTTTTTTAATTATGGTGCTGTCTCAAATGTGGTATTTTGCAGATTATTGTTGAGAAAAGCAACAGTCAGAAAGATGAAACTTCATTACACTGACATGGTAAATGATTGTGATGTGGGGAGAAGGCCACTAGGCTTTAAATGGCATCATATATTACAAGGAGGGTAACAGTGGTTGATGAGCAGCATTTTCAAAAATCTTTTCTAAAGGTGCTCATATTCCTAGAAATAACTTGAAAAATCTTGGTTATTCTTATACTCCCTGAGTTGCCTTGAGAGCTGTGCCCAGGGTATGCAGCCTGCTCTGGGATTCAAATAGTCTTCAGGAGAAACCTGAACCTTGAAATCCTGACAGTTACATAGTCCCTCCCAAGCTACACTGACTAGTTTCTGCTCCCATTGGTTTTTTGAGACTTACTCCCAGCCCATCTAGATTGGGCCATATATCAGCACTGACACTTATTTCAACATTTTCTGTCTGAAACTGATTGCTCAGTTTCAGACTAAATGTGCATGTGTCCCCCAGTTTTTTTCTGGTGGCTTGAAGAGTGTTCCGTGTTCCCTCCCCTTGACGCTTCCCATCTGTGCATGTGATTGCAGGTCCATGGTCGCAGACCATTCAGGATGCTGGTGTGAATGAGCAGTGCAGCAACATCCTCAACAACAAGCGGTTTATGCTGGACATGTTGTATGCGCATAACAAAAAGCCCAAGGATGAAGAGGAGAAGGAGCTGGAGGCGAAGGAGGAAAAGAAGGAGACGGAGGAAAGCGAGGAGTCACTCACTAGCCTAGCCAGTAGGATCTCTATCCTTCAGGCCACAAAGCAGGCCAAAGATGAAAGTGTCAAAAAGATGGAGATCGGAAATCTGGACAACCAAGGCAGCGTGAAAGCCTTTGCGGAAAAATTCAACAGTGGTGAGCTGGCCAAGGGGACAGCCGTGCCTGAAGATGAAGTCAGTGAACAGGTCCCCGAGAAAACACCAGCACAGCCAAAGAAGGAATCTGACTACATCTGGGATCAGCTCATGGCTAATCCTAGAGAACTTAAAATCAAAGACATGGATTTTACAGACTTGGGGGAGGAGGATGATGTAGATGTGTTGGACATGGATATGGGTCCTGGGGACTCCCTTGTTCCCCCTCCTCCACCTCCACCTTCTTTTCTGGGTTTGCCTCCTCCACCACCTCCCCCGCTGTTTGGATGTCCGCCTCCACCTCCACCCTCTGCTAATTTATTGGCTCCTCCTCCGCTGTTCAGCACTCCTCAGGGTTTAGGGTCACCCCAGGTTTCTAGGGGTCAGCCAGCATTTATAAAGAAGAAGAAAACCATCCGTCTGTTTTGGAACGAGGTACGGCCATTTGAGTGGCAGTGTAAAAACAACAAACGCTGCAGAGAATTCCTGTGGTCGAAACTGGAACCCATTAAGGTGGACACTTCCAAACTGGAGCATCTCTTTGAGTCTAAATCCAAGGAACTGCCTGTCACAAAGGTACAACCCATATTCAGCTTGCTATTATTTTGCTATTGTATTGGTATTCATTCTGACTTAGATCTAGGTGATTTATGTTGTTTATATGAAAACACTGGAAATTACTGGATGTGTTTCTAGCTTGGCCTATGACAGAAGATATTCCATGGCCTGAAACTAGGAGATGAGGCTACGGTGGTGTACATGCCAAGCTGCCCTCTTCTCTCAGGCCTACTGGTCTGGGGATATCACTTCAGGTGGGGAATGCCAACAAATTTTGCAGTAGGTTGGTTGTAGCTGAGTGCCGAACCAGGTATTGAAATTTGAAATGTTTTCTGTTACATTCATATAAAGGTCACAGTGTGGTGATTCATTTGACAGTTCGTCACTTGGCAATATATTCCTAATCGTTGTGTAGAAAGGTTAGAATATCAGATTGGATCTGCTGCAAAACCCCTACTCAAGTGCTTTGTTCCAAAGGATCTGTTTATCAGCTGGACCAAGTTTACAGCTAAACTCTGCAGGGGTGTTGGGTTTTTGTTTTATACTGGTGAACAGGCCTATTTTAAATCCTTCATTTTCACAGTGTGGCTATCCAAATTTTAGGATAGAGGCTGGCACAGAAAATGCCTCTGTAGCTAGTGTTCCCTCTTCCTTAGGAGCATTGTTATAAAATTAATAAAATAAAAGGCTGATGCATGGCTGTTTTAACATTAGACTCAACAACAAAGGGAAGTCTTTTATGATTAAATTTAGTAGGAATTTGAAGTAGCATTAGAAAAGTTACTAGCGTGAACATTTGTTTTTCATGACTGCATAAACTTTTTCTTCTAAGCAGAATAATCTGCATCAGGGAAACAATGGTGTTTTTTTCCAGTTAAAATGCTAGTAAAAGATGTCCATCTCTCTTAGTTAAAATAAAGAAATCACTTGTACGTTTTCTATGTATGCCTATATGTTTTATAGTGACTTAAAAAACAGTCAGTACCTTGAATATTTTACTTCTCTTTGGCTGGCGAAAGTTGTTATATATATTATTATCATATATATTACTTTTTGCTCTTAATCTGGGGAGACTGGATGTCCCACATATAAGGTCTCTGTGTCACTTGTCTGGGTTATTAACTCAAAATTTTCTGTTAATCATTCTTGATCTTCTTGGCCAAGCGGAAACATTGCAATTTGAACAATCAAGCCCCTCATTTAAGTACCTGGTAAACAACAGGTACATAAATACATGGCTCACGTAGATCCTGCCATCGCTGTCCTTAGCTGAATTTTTTGTGACACAGATGCACGTAGGTCTGAAACATATGGCGTAGCAGCTGTAAAACCGCATTCAGCTGATTGTTCATTTGGCCAATGCCGAGATTAATTTCTCTCTAATTCCTTTTCTGCTAAGGGAGGAATGCTGGTGATGTCGTGGTGTGTTACTCCTCATCTCTCTCCCTGCAAATACTTATATGCCACAGATGGTTCGTAGACGGAAGGAATGAGAGCGTTTTCTTAGATCCATAAAACATTTAATTCCTCGAATTGAATGTGGAATTATGACATATTTGCCATTTCCAAACTTTAGCTTTGTGCTGAATGCCAGTATTGTAATGGATCAGTCTGGCTGATTCTTAATCTTTTATTCTTACCCAGAATTTCTGATAAAATGTTAAATTGTTGGAATTTTGACTTGTTTACTTTTCCAGTCATTTACTGTGTACGTTCCCAAACTACCTTTGGCCATTCCCCCCCTTCCCCTTGCGCTTGCTTCCCAAACCTGCCTGGGCTGCCTGATGCTTTGGCACAGCTTTTGGATTCTGGCTGGAAGATGAGTGAGCAGGTTTCTTTGAAATTAGTGCAAGTCTGAGGAATGATTTAGGTGACTGCTTTCCTCTTGGAGACTAATAACTGCTCTCTGCATGAGACGTTATACTTTTGGCTCTCCTTCCACCCTGTCCCATAACACAGACATAGAAGTCTCATTGTCTCCGTAGGGAAGACAATGGTGACCAAGGATTACCAGAGGGGAGGTCTGCTCAGCCTACTGAGACTCCTGCGTGGTTTTGGTGAATATCAGCAAATCTTCCAGGGTAGGAGATGGTCCTTAGATCAAGTGAGGGTGGGACTAATTAAGCAGACCACTGGGTCCATAAAAGACTTGAGGTTTGGTATGAAGATTGCACTCAAATTAGGATAGCTCTCGCTTTTTCCAGACTGCTTGGTTTGTTTCCAGGGAGTACATTCCCCGTTGTGTCTAGTTTCTTGTGTCCAATGGCTGCAATCCAAAACAGGTTTATTCTATAATATCGTAAAGTCTGACTCACAGCTCAGTTGGTTCAGCTGAAAAAAAAGAGCACAGAGCAACAAATCAAAAGTCAGATCTCCAGATTTCATAGCAATAGATGGAAGCAGGTGCATGGAAAAGGAACAATCCAGAAGGATGAGAGGAAAAGCGAAGTCAGGGTGTGTTGGGGGGGCTTGGCTCTGTCTTGTGCATATGCTCTTTCATACAGCTGTAACCAATTTTACCCCAGTTTCTAATCCTTCACTGTGATTTCCACAACACACAGCTATAAACAGCTACTTCCTGGCTCATGAGAAGTTTTTCATTAAACGCAATAGACTGCAATAAAATAAAGCGGATTTTTAAATTGTAGGATATAATATAGGAGTTGGGAGGGAGGCTGGGAGGGGAGATTATTGATTTTAGGAAAACTTATGCCACACTGGACAACTCACATCGATTATAGTTGATGGAGCACCTTTAGTTGCAGAGTGTTTATCTTCTGGAATAGAGGACCACGACATTCTGTTTGCAAATAGAGAGAGAGAGTGATCAGGTATCCCCTCCAAGCCAGCCTAGAATGTCTTTCCTTCTCGATCCGCCAAACAAAGCAGGTATTTTGGCAAAGTACTTCAAAGTGTTTATTTTTCTGTGAAGAGAAATGAAAACACACAGACACTACTGAATCAAATGGTGGTGTTCAGCCCTTCTGCTATCCACTTGGTTCTGTGTGTCATTTGGAATATTATTTTGCTGACTCATCTGCACCCTGTGGGATGTAGTGATCCAACATGTGCCCACAGACATAAAACTAGGAGGACTGAAAAATTAGGGAATGTGTTTTCATATAGACATGTATATACGTGCCTAGACACATATTGCTTTTGAAAACATTTGTTGAAATTAGGATAAATGCCAAGGCAAGTCATAAATGTGGATGAAAATTTCTGGAAAAGACTTTATATATACATATATATATGTATATCCCAGACAAAGCCAGTGGCAGATGAGTGATTCCCTTTTAAATCCCCAGTGCTACATCCTTACTAATTGAGATAGAAATTTAAAAAATGCTATTTTGCTATTAAGGGATTGCCCATTTTTTTTCTGAACGACTGATACAGTTTAAATGCAGGAGGTATTTCTGAATTGATGCTTATATATAATTAATTACTTATATGACTGCTGGAAAAGTGATTTAAGTTTTTCTGCTTCCCATATTAATTAAAGCAGAGACACATGTTTTAGACTAAGTGCTCGTCAGACTACAGGTCACCTTCTGTGGGACTAACCTGTCTGGATTACCCAGCCTTCAATAGAGGCAACAGAATCTGGCCAGTTAGGTCTTGTAAAGATCTAAATTCACTGCAATTGTTAATACATTGCAGGAGTGTTTGTTTCCCATAGATATTATACCACCTAATATATTTGTATTTTATAATTATTTTTTCTTTACATTTAATAATACGATATTCAGCAGCTCAGGGCTTACGTTACATACTGACATGTATAAAATCAAGTGCACTGGTGCACTGTTCCCTCAAGCATTTGAAGTCATTCTCTGTTAATGAACTTATAAAACAGAGTCTGAAGTCACTTAATATTGTAACAGAAGTTGATAGTTGTAGCTTATTTTAACAGACAGACACTTACACATGTGCAATCCCATCACAGACAAAAAGGAATTCTTTTCCTACTGGTAGGGTAATAAAGTTCATAGCAGGAAAATCTTTGCTTTTTCTTCATCCTTCTATTTATTTGGAAAGGATTTCTTTGTAACTCAGCCATTGTCCCCAGAACAGATTTAAAATCTCTTCTGTCCCTGTTTTTCTAAAGGGTTTCTTACCCCTAATTTTTATACCTGTATGCAGTTATATCTCTGGAAAATACCTACGTGCTTACACCCCCAATACAGCGCATCTGTCTTTCATAAGGCATTGCTAAGGAGCAAGGGCACTTTTGCAGTCGCAATCATCCCAGCGGTTAGCGTCATATGTCCCTCAAATGAATATGTCTGTCTTGTCAAACTTAGGAGCCTAAAAAGAGAGCTGCAGATCTGAGGCTTACTTACCCACACCGCATGTGGGAAGCCTAAATTTAACTCCTTTCCCCTAGCCTTTTCCCTTCTGCATAAATGCTCTGGAGTGGTGTAATTCTGTGCTGCAAAGGAGAAGGTAAAAAGTGGTGGTTTAAAAAAGGCTTAGAGCAATACAGCCTCAAGAAGAAGAAGTCTCTGGTGAACCCCGCTTGTTTTTATGTGGTCTTGGCCACGAACTGTCATCCTGAAAATGTGATTAATGGCCCTGTAAGTAAAAATGACTGCTTTAAAGGAGAAGCTGCATCTCTGATCCTCCAGGTAGCTGCCCAAGAAAAAGAGGAGACTCTTACTCAAAGAAGGGAAAGTTGAAGAAGGTTTCAGGGATGCTTTTAAGGTGTTAAGGAGAGAGCAGTTCTGACAGAACAGACCTATAAAAATTGAAAACAAATGTTATCATTGCTCTCCTAAAATTTATCCTGTTTACTGCAAAAGTGTTGTTTCTTTTTAACTTTAAAAAAACCCAATGCGCTCATTACTTTCCCAGTTGCATCATGCCACGCTAACCACGTTGGTATGATGGAAGGGCTGTGATGTCACACGCGTGCTGGGCAGGCTGCTGGGCCCACTGGGCACACCTCTTCCTCTGCGGATGAGGAGCTGGGCTATACCAGAAAAGGGCAGCTTTGTGATGATGTATCTGCGCTCCCATCATGGGCTGAGCCACAGCCGGAGGTACTTTGGTAAAGTCATATTTATTAATTCAGACAGTTCTTCCAACGCAGAATCAGCTCGTAGGCCTGGCACTACGGCATTTTTTGACTCAGCGGTGGCTGTAATGCAGACCTGAAGGAAGCGGAGAATAAAGCTTCCTGGTCTAAAAAGCAATCCAGAGCACAGATAGAGACTGGGGCAGTAAGATTCTCCTCCTGGGCTTCCCCCAAATCCACAAGAGACGCAGGAGGCACTGCTGCTGTAGCCAACACGAATGATTCTGTGTTCTGAACAGTTGTATGGGCTGCCCCATTGCAGCCTGGAAGGAGGGAATGCTCAGCCTCTCTCTTTGCTCCTCTGAGGTGCATCTGTGCGAAGGCTGCTGCTGCCGGAGCCGCTAACCACAGTCCAGGTGACAGGCTCTACAAGGAGGCCACAGTCACGTCTCTGCAGCCCGTGCCTTGCTGAAACATGGCTTTATACGCAGCGAAGCATGTCTGCGCTTGCTTGCATCAATGTGCCGGTCTCTTCCCCATGTTCCTGTGCTTGACAGCATCCCTCAGCCCATCTCTGATAGGGCAAAGGAAGGGGAAACAGAGAAAACGTGTTTCCAAAGTTCATGTCTATGGAGAGGGAGGGAAAATCCCTGTGTATGGAGCAGAGTCCTCTCCTGTTGCAGCTGCCTGGTATAGGACACATGTAGTTGCCAAAGAGGCACCTTCTAGCACAGGACAGTGAGAGACTGAGGGGCATGCTGAGATGTAAAAGCAAAGACCACGTTCAGCACTGTATTATGCCATGTAAATAGTTGGAGAGTCACCTTGCCTAGTTGGTTCGCATTTTACCACTATGAGAATGGGGAGAGAGGGGAAGAAATTTCTTGGGTCTTCTGTACATGGAATTTAAAGCATATTTTTTTTAGTTCTTTGTGCTTTTATTTATAGTATAGTTCATACTGGAGGTAAGAACCAAAGATTATGTCTAGTTTCAAATAGAACTTTGAAAAAAGCAGAAAGGTTGAAGTTGTTCTGCACCTGTGAAGGTCTTGACGGACATATCGCGAGCAGCAAGGTAGAATACCATTCCTCTGACAGCCAGAGGTAGGAAAACCATGCCAGTGTCTCCAGAAAGGCCTCTGCAGCTCCTTTGCCAGTGCCCAAGGTGGATTTATAACACAGGAGAGTGCTGCCAGGCGGGGGGGGAACCACCCTGGCTGTTTCCCAGCCAGCCATGTGGGCAAGAGAGGGTCGGTGGTCTCTCCAGGTTGATGCATCCAAAGGGGAATTGAGCCCCAGAGCCCATCAGCTGCCCGGCTGCTGCCCTGTTGGTCCTGCAGCACAGCAGAGCTCTCCCCAGCAGAGACAGCTTTGGGCTTTTTTTCAGCCTGACTCCTGTCCCGAACTGCAGCATCCCCAGCCCTCGCGGGGACTCCTGTGTCTCAAGCTAGCTCCGCTTTGCACAACATCTGAGTCTGCGTTCGGCTCTCTGGTTAAATCCTGGCAGCTCATGCTGATACCAGCAAGGATGTGGTAGAAGAATTCAGCTTTGTGAATGACTATAAATGCATTTGAGTTACATTCAGTGTCAGCACCCTCAAGTAGGGGAAGTGATTAATGGAAGGAGTGACTTTTTCTTGATGAAATAGGCTGCAGGAGTAATATTCTTGTTCTCTTCTTTACCAAGAAAACTGCTGCAGATGGAAAGCGACAGGAGATCATTGTGTTGGACTCAAAACGAAGCAACGCTATTAATATTGGCTTGACTGTGTTACCCCCTCCCCGGACCATCAAGACTGCTATTTTGAACTTTGATGAATATGCCTTAAACAAGGAAGGAATAGAGGTAAGAAAGTAGTTGATTTCTTCAGGTCTGCATCATCAGTGTTACCTTTTTTTTTTCAGTGTTGCACACAGTACAAGCCAGACTTTCCATGGAATAGGGAAAAGGGGATGTATTATATCATGACTGAGAGGTGAGACTCATCAAATCAATGTAATGTGCTCAGAAACATCTATTATTCACCTGAGGTTGGGCATGCTCAGCAAACGTGGATTTCTCTGCTTTGTGTCTAAGTATCAGTAATGACGGTGTTAATTCCTGTCAAGATTTTCAGAGTATTCTCTGTTCCTCTGGAGCTTGACTGAAATATTGTGAGCAGCAAGAATAGGTAGTGAGTTACTAGAGCTGATGCAATTGGTACAGGGTTTAATAAAGTTCATGCCCAGCTAGCTGTTGGAGTCGTTCTAGATTGCATATCTAACGGAAAACAAATACAGTGACTAGTTGTGCTCAAAATAGCATTTCTACATTACCGTTGTGTTTGAAGAAAAGCAGTTGGTATAAAGATTACAGATGATGTAATTTTTACCATTACATGTTTGACTTTGCAGATATTCTTACCAAGATCCAAGATGAGCTCTGTTTATTATTTTTTTTATCAAAACATTTTTCCTCTATGAAGTGTAAAAGAAGCCTGCTGCTCCCCTGGTTTTCTTCATTGTGGTTGTATTGATTTCAGTTTTATTTTTTTTTAATAAGCCCATATCATCTAGTAAGAGTAATCTGCACAACTACAAATCTCAACCAGTGGCTGAGCTGCAGAGGTCATGTCTTGATTCACAGTCACCTTTCAGTGGTTTGGGGCTCTGTTTCATGATTTCCCCATTTCCACCTTCACTGTGATGACTACAGAAGAAAATGGGAAAAGCTGGCTGGAATGGAAACGGAGTTGCCAACAGTTACATGCAAAAGAAATACTTAAGGCAAAAGATTGTTCTAGCTAGAAGGCAAGGCCCGATTTATCCGTACTAGAATATAGTTTCTTCCCCAAACGATATTACTTATTTGGTATATACATACCGTACTCATATTGTGTAGGTGACAAATCAGGCTAAAAAAGTAATTTTTCATGACCCAGCCCATGTACCCACCACTGCAGTTTGCAGTACTAAGCTTGAAAGTGTTGGAGAAGTATTCCTCTAGCCAAGTGCAACTCATAGACCGCCAGTTAGATCTCAGTCCTGTAGGCAGTGTTTCCGTACAAAGTCCAACATAAAATGGCTGATAAAGAAGGACACATCTTTATTGTCTTCCACATAGCATCTCCTTTGAATTGTGTCTTTTTCCGGCACACTCAGCGGAAATTCAGCTGCCCTGCACAGCTCACCCTTTCCAGTGCCAACACTTGTAGCTGGGCTGTCCATCTGCCAACCACCTGTGGTGTCCTCAGTTGTGAGTGCCTTGCAGCACCACACCCTCCTTTGGGTGGCCTTTCCATTAGCTGCCAGAAACCCATAATTTCATTTAAAATATATATGCAGGTAGCTCTCAAATTGAAGAATTCAGAAACCAGGAAATGATACACTGTTGATATACTTGCCCAGTGCTAAAGAAAATGGGATTTCTGAGTTCTGTGACCACAGCTTGAAGCTAAGGATGTGAGTAATACTGCTGTGATCACCCAGGTACTTAAAATCAAGAGAAAGGGAATAAGCTGAATATGAGCAAGCAATCTGCCCAGGGGGCCAAGAAGGCCAACAGCATCCTGGCTTGTATCAGGAATAGTGTGGCCAGCAGGACCAGGGAAGTGATTGTGCCCCTGTACTCAGTGCTGGTGAGGCCGCACCTCGAATACTGTGCTCAGTGATGGGCCCCTCACAACAAGAAAGACGTTGTGTTGCTGGAACATGTCCAGAGGAGAGCCACAAAGCTGGTGAGGGGTCTGGAGCACAAGTCTGATGAGGAGTGGCTGAGGGAACTGGGGTTGTTCTGCCTGGAGAAGAGGAGGCTGTGGGGAGACCTTATCGCCCTCTTATAACTGCCTGACAGGAGGCTGTAGTGAGGTGGGGTCGGCCTCTTCTTCCAGGTAACAAGCGATAGGGTGAGAGGAAATGGCCTCAAGTTGTGCCAGGGCATGTTTAGATTGGATATTAGGGAAAAATTCTTCCCCGGGAGGGTTGTCAAGCATTGGAATGGGCTGCCCAGGGAAGTGGTTGAGTCCCCATCCCTGGAGGTATTTAAAAGACGGGTAGATGTGGTGCTTAGAGACATGGTTTAGTGGTAGATTTGACAGTGTTACGTTAATGGTTGGACTTGTTGATCTTAAAGGTCTTTTCCAACCTTAGTGATTCTATGAATCTATAGAGCAGAGCCCAGGTACTTGGCACTTTGAGGGATGAAGCCTTTATTGGTTGGGAAGGATCATGTTCACAGAGAAAAGAGCTTTTGTTTTTTCTTCAATGTTCCATATTTATTTACTTCTTATCGGGTAGAACCCTGCACTGAATTCAGATTTCCTTTCCCAATCCCCGGTTTACAGACTTTTCTTATAGCACGTTGTTGTAGAGTGAGACAGGCGTTTACAGTGAGATAGACAAATGGATTAAGCTATGCAGAATTGGCCAAGGGGTGCAAAGAGAGATACAGAAATGCATCCTGTGACTCCCACTGTTTTCAGCAGAGCCCTGCCTCAGTTTTCCATACTGCCCCTTTGATCTACAGTGTCAACAAGCTTTGTTTCTCCTCTCTGTATCTATCTGTTCACTGTCTTTATGCCTTAGAGTTAGCTTCGAGGGAAGAGGGGTTGTCTTTTCAGTCTAGATTTTTAGAAAGGTTTCTGGTACATATCTACAGTTCCTAAATATTAGGAAATAATTGGTAGTGATGACAAATGAATCAGTAATAGTGTAAGCATCAGCTTCATTTATATAAAAATGCAGCAAATCAAGCAAATTATTTGCTATATAATATTCTTAATAGCTAATCTATGGGTTGACTGAGGCAGGACTGGTACATAAAAAAAAGTTATGCAATTGGTCGAATTAAAAAACTGCGTCACAGTGGGTACTCAAAAGCCTTTCTGCATAGTTAATTGTCTAGAAGAGATGTCGCAGCTAGTAAGTAGAAGAGAGAGATGCAAGCAGAGCAGGAGAAGAGATGTGATGTGTGCAGTGAGGACATAACTTCCATTGCTAAAACTTCAGGGAAGCTATAATTTAGGATCATCTTCAGCTTTTAGAGGATCCAGCACGGAGCAGGGCACCAACAGGGTATGAAGTCACCTGAGCCACCCGTTGCCTTGGCTGTGAGCTCTGTGCTGTGTCCCTCACTGAGGAGCATCGTCACTGTCATGTGAGTGAGCATGTGGTTTTAGTTCTCCACCTTGGCGGATAAGTTCAGATTAAATGGTATCTTAATACTGACCTCAGCAATTCCTTTAAGGACAGTGGCCTAAAGCAGTGCTGACAGTAGTGCTAGCAATAAGGCAGTGATGCGGTGGGACGCAGGCTACAAGTCTGTGATAATCCAACTCATAATCAATTTCAGTGACCCAGTAAACCCTCCATTACTGGCCGACGTTCTGCTGAATTCTGCTTTGCTTGTGTCATTTAAGTCTTGTTAGTAATCCATACTTTGCTTTTTAACTTCAAATATGTAAGTAAGATAGGAGAAAAAATTCTTCAGGTATTTTAAAACCCTCTATACCTAAGTATGTTGCATATTTTAGGCCATGTGTTTGTAATGGTTAGGTACCCCTGAGCTGTGGAAAAGGGCAGAAAATGGGGCATTGTGCTAGAAAGGCAGAGATAGTCCATTTAGTATGCAGAGCAGGCACTGTCGGAAACGTATTTTCAAAGGAAGGCACGATGTGTGTCTGCAAGCATGCATCAAATCCAGCTAAAAACATTTTTGCCACCTTACATTTGCCAAAGTGGTTGTGTTTTCCTTTCAAAGAAAGCTTGGCATTCATTGTGTTCAAACAACTTGGCGCTCACTGCAGGGTAAAGGACTGCCTGTTTAGCAGGGATGATGGCTTTCTGTGAGCTAACCAAAGGAGGCAAGCTTAAAGTCCTGGCACCTAAGTTTAATGAAGTGGGCACCTGCAAGAACAGAGTCCACCAAACCAGTCCTTGGTGATTGTCTTTGGTAAAGGAAATGAGTGAGTCCCTATGTAAAGTGCTACTCAGTAAGGGAACATGGGTCAAAATGAAATTGCACAAGAGTATGAATAATTTAGCAAAGTAAAATTGGGGTGATGCTGTGAGGAAATTGAAATGGGTGGCTTTGTGCTTTGCAATATAGCTTTGTTGATGCTACACAATATTGCATTGCATTGTTAGTTATAGCCTTCAGTAAAACTATTTCAAATGAAAAAAACCCTCCAGATACACTAGGCCCTCCATACCCACACTTATTATGTACTTTGAAGTCCATGTGTCTGGAGCGGCTAGGTAGCCCGGACATGTAAAAAGGGGTAACAAATGAGGGCCCGTTGTTAAAAAGGCAGATGGTGACATGTATAAACAAAAAGCAACATTTTATTTAAGTTTTTGTTCTGATAGTTGCCACGGTGTGTTGGCATTTGCTGTTTCCAATTTGTTTAGCTAATGGTTTGTAAAAGTCTGATGGGATCTTTCAAATTATGCTAGCTTGCGTGACCTGAAGGAACACTCTTTTCACAAACCTGGACAGAAGAGAGAACAGACTTAATGGTGCCTTGCCGGCTGTACGCCCACAGTCAGCTTATCACTGCCCTAACGAGTTTCAGACTTTATTTAAAGAAAAAAAGCTACACTTTCACTCCTTGCAGCACACCAAAACATCTTCCACAGTGTCTGTGACCAGCAATGGCATGTTCCTGTATTTCAGTAGCAAGCTGAGGAGGTGGAGCGGTCTGACCGAGGCAGCAGCTGTCAGCTCCCCATTTACAGGGCTGGCTGTCAGGCATTTTAGATGTAGTCCCTTCTCAGAATTGGATCATTTTTGGAAGAGTTGAAATAAAATTAGTGCAGGCAGGCTCACTCACTGTGGAGTCCTGACCTCCACACGCTTTTGTATTTTGTTAGAGTTTCTGCAGGTAATGCAAACCACCAGTGTGTCTCCTTAAGAGCTGTCTGGAAAGCTGAAGTGTGGGAGCCTTTTTGGAGCTGAATCACCTGCTGAGGCCTGTCAAATGTCCGATGAAATGCCCACTAATTTGGGTATGCAGCTTACAGATTTGTGGGTCTCGAGCCACAGAAAGCTTTGGACTCAACAACAATGAGATATTTAGTTTACTAATTCTTTTCAGGCTCCTGTTTGCCTGATAAAATCAGCTGAAACCAAATATGAAAGCCCAGGCACCCCTGCAACCTCATCATCATTGAGAAGCCCCATTATCTCTTGAAAGAGATAAATTAAGCCCCTAATTTCCATGGAGGCTCCAGGCAATTCGCAGTATCTGGTTAGATGCTTCTTTGCATCCCACACTGAGGCCCATAACCCTCAGGCATATGGGGGTTATGACTTTTGCCCTGTGAGCCTTCTAAGGCTTTCCTCTTAGAAATTTTTGGACACCATACCTCAGGGTGACTGAGTCCAGAAAATAAACGGTTTGATCCCATCACTGAAAGTTCAAGCAAGTGGCTGGTCCAGCAGTCCAGGAGCAGAATAATTAGGATCCATTATCTCATGTGAGCAGGAACTCCAAAAATTACTTCTTCTTTTCCATGAAGAGACTTGTGCACTGGTTTTCCTCAGAATTTTAGTCTCTGGCCCAAAAACTTGTGTGAGAATGCATGGAGGTGCAATACGTGTATCACACACATTAGAGGATGTGAGCATAGGGTTTGTTGATAACCAAGTCTTCTTTAATCAACCTGAAGAGTTCTGTACTAGGGAGACTGTTTTAAACTAACAAAGCTATTTGTGATTTAATGGTCACATCAAGTGCCAGTAAGCTTCTGCCCTGCTGTGTTTTTATGCTACTTTTACTGTCAGTGATGCTTAAAAAAATAATAATAATAAAAATAATAATAAACTGGCAGATGGTGTACTCATCAGTTTCCAGTGCTGAACAAATGGCTCAAATTAGTCATAGGGTGGAAATCAAGAATAGGAGCATTTTACCACTTACTCAGGGGCACACCAAGGACGATGACGAGCAGGATCAGAATTATTTGTCCAAGCAGATTAGAAGTGCTGATGAGTGAGTCGTTGTTATGGGGGCAGTTGAATCCTGGATGGTGTGAGACCTGCCAGCAGCTCTGGTCCCATCGAGGCGGGGCTTTCAGCAGCAGGGGTGATCCTCAGCGGCTGGCACCACAAGTACAGGCTCTTTTGCTTGGCATTCTCTGTTTCACATACTACAGTATGCAGCACAGCAGCCTTGCAATACTTGGACTCGAATGCTTTTTGTCAGCTCCATCTGGCTTGTGGTGTTTACATAAAGCTCAAGGAGGAGGAGAGTACCCTTGGAAATAAGGCTTACTGTTTCATTGCTCTCTTTAAACAGCCTGAAAGCAGTGCAAAATCCCTGGAGTGAAGGTGGTGCACCGCCACAAAATATTTGTGGGATCCCTGGGTAGCAACCAAAAGCCCCAGTTATTTGTAGGAGGCATTTGAGAATACTGCTGAAGCGTTAGCCTTCAAAAATGCATCAGAAGCGTTTTTACATACTTCACATGGCTACCGCTAAACTCTCCATGTATGGATATTCATATGGTCCTGTTTGCAAGCTGCCCTGGCTCAGCTGAGGGGGTGTTGGCTGCTTCTTCTTGTTGTTGAAGAGAGGAGTAGGCACTAGGAAGCCTGGCTTCTTCAGAGGACACACTGCAAAACACCTCTTCTTATGCGTTTCCGACTCAGTCTCTCTTTTTTATGAACTTTTTTAGATGAGTATTTGTTAAGCACTGAGAAATGCCCTGAAGCAGCTACTTATACATCTCTAGTTCGATGTTAGGTCTGACCTAAGTTACAGATTTCAGCGTGTGTGGGTGGATGGATGGACAGCACATCTCAAAATCAATATACAAACACTATCAATCAGTACAGGTGTACATCAGGGGAAGGAAAAGCACCAGAGTGTATTGAGGGATTTTCCTCCTCTTCTTTTTTCCTTAGGATATTAATTTATTAAGGTAGAAGCTTGCGGTGTCCAAGCAAGGACTCTTTTTAAACTGAAAGGCAGAGCCAACATTAACAGAAATAAATGCTGCTTTATTTGTTTATAGAAGTCAGCATAAGAAGATAGACAGCAATGCAAATGCAGTGGCTGAAATCTAATAAATCCCAGTTCAACAAATTGAACATTATTTGCTTGCTTAACTCTTGTTCTTTGCCTGATTGACCAGAAAAAGTCCCTTGGTGTCCACGCTTAGCTCCAGCCCTGTACAAGGAGCCAGATGAATTATTGGTACTGGAAGGGGGCAGTTGTGCTACTTTGATGAATTGGCTATGTCCAGTGCTGGAAGGAGGCTGTAGTTTGGATTGGCAGGTCTGATAGCTCTTTGGCTGTATTTTTATTATTCTCTCCTCCCCTCCAAAACAGCCTCTTGTCATTATAGAAGGCTACAGCAAAAACATGTCATTCCTCAGATGAATAAACATAAGTTGTGTTGAAAATCTACTGCTCTGTTTTAATGAGAAATTGATCAGCAGGGTAAAGACCTCAACTTATCTGATGCCTTTATGTTGTTTTGCTTTTCTTTTTTATTTTACAATGCATTTATTATGTTAAAAACTAATTAAGGAGCAATACCTTAGAGAGCAATACTTTGAGAAGGAAAGCTGCCACATGTGAACAAGCATGTAAAATCCAAGAATTCAAGGGAAAATACAAATGTTTTGAGCCATCCTGACAGCAGAAACTGAAAATATTGAGATCCTTTTTCATCAATAATTTAGATTTTTCAGATCAGAGGAGAAAAAGGCCATATGTTATGCAATGCATGATACAACTTTAAATTAAATTTGTGTACCTTGGGAAGTTGTCCTCAGTTCAGGTGAAATTTTTGGGAATGCAATAGTTGTCATGTTTCATAAAAACCAAAACAGACTGAACAAAAATAGTAAATTATGAGAACAGCAAGGGACAGGAGTCCTCAAATTATTCCTGTATACCTACAAGTGTACTGGAAGATTCATAAACGTTGAGGCTAAAAGGGGCCTGCTATCTTCTGACCTGCTGTAAGTCACCGGCCAAAAGATTTCACTCATGCTATCCTCACTTCCATACGTAATTCGCAGAAAGGTGGCCAGTTCTGATTTAAAGGTATGAATGCTGAGGAGAGCAGTCCTAACCAGACGCCCTGTCTTTCTTCAGTGTTTGATCCTGTGATTAACCATAGCCACTATGTTAATACAGATGCAGTTTTCCGCTGCAGATGTTCGAGACGGCGCACCTTGTTTTGCTCCCTTCTGCGGTGGGTCAGTGCTTGGTTACTACGTGCTGTCCTAATTTAGCATCCAGTGACTGAGGACTTCTGCCAATGCTGCTGAAAAGTCACCCAGTGTCACAGGAACTCAGGCGAAGTCCAAGTGAAGCTCCTTGCGTGAGCCTGTGCTGCAGGAGCACTTGCCGCAGGAGCATCCCCGTGCCACTTCATCCCAGCCCTTGAGTGCCTCTAAGCCCCACCACTGATGCCTGCCTTTTGTCTCCCTTCACAGAAAATCCTGACCATGATCCCAACCGAGGAGGAGAAGCAAAAGATCCAGGAGGCGCAGCTGGCAAACCCCGATGTCCCCCTGGGCAGTGCCGAGCAGTTCCTCCTCACCCTCTCCTCCATCAGCGAACTCTCTGCCAGGCTCCAGCTCTGGGCTTTCAAGATGGACTACGAGATAGTGGAAAAGGTGAGGGGAAAGCGGGGAGGGGAGGCAGAGGTGGAGACTGTCCCGAGGCTTTGCTTAATCTTTCCCTGACCTTGTTATTATAGGAGTGTATATTTTGAGGAAACAGTAAATGGGTCGCTTTTGTTTCGGTGGCCAACCAGGAAACAGCTAAAATGATCTTTCATGATCTGTTCCTTCTATAAAAGAAAATTAAAGATTATGTCTTCCTTCCTTTAATTAGGCAGTAATGATATTGGAACAAAGAAGAGGGCTAAATCCTTACCACATCTTCTCCAGATGTTGTTATTCAGGAAATTCTTACTTCAGGGCAGTAAGAGTTTTTCTTTGGCTAAAGATTGAATGAGGGCTACAGCCTTACATCATAAAATGAGAGTATTGATCTTGCATCCAGTTGAACTAAGGAAAACACCATCCATTAAAGTTATTTCTGTTTATAACTCTCTTTCAAAGTTATAAACAAAAGATAAGATATCCTTCAGGGGTGCTCTTTTCAGTTCAGTTCCAGACAGTTGTTGCCACCTTCTTCATGGATGGCATTTATTCAGAGAACACTATAATTGGGTTGTCTGTCCTGTGTTATGAATTACAGACAAAAATTTTCCAGGAATCTCAGCAGAGGAACCTTCTTCTAGCTGTGCTTCTGGTGCATACCCCGTGCATTGCTCTTCAGGCAGCTCTCTCCTGTATATATTTATTTTGTATGTGTATCTGTGCAGATATGTGTTTATTAAAAAATCAGTGTAACTTTGTGTGATATGGATTCTGAGAAGTGGGTCATGCTTCTGCAAATGCCTTATGTTTACCTAGCCATGGTTATTTAACAAGTTATACAACAGTGGATTGATTTGCAGATGATACTGTCACGATTACTCAACCTCTGTTTAATTTTCTTAGATTTTAGGAAATGCAATCACACTAATATTCAGGATTTTTTGATGGTGACATTTTAGTCTTAGACATTTACATTTCTGACTTGTAAAACCTAAAATACTTGTATCTGGCCTGAATACTTTTTTGCCAGGCTTTTTTTTTACTCTGGTACAGCTATTTATTCTGCTTTGAAGTTATCACAAAACTAAATTGTTCCTTTCATGTGAGCTGAGTTAGCCGTAGCTGTTAATCTATGTCTATACCTAGAATTTCTAGCTTTCTTTCAATCAAAACCCAAAACTTGAAGCACTGCAAAAAGCTGAAGAAATTCTGATAGTTTTCATGTTGCTGATTCATAATGTTTATGTTACAAAGTTAATGAATTACTGGCTAAAAGCCATGTAGAATGGATGTTAGTATAAAAAGTCTCAAATACATAAATTACTCAAAAAAGCAACAGCTGGAGTGAAGATAGGACCAAGATTTTTGTCCCTGTTGAAAGGTAGATAGGCCTAAGTACAGTACTTACCATAAAATGGTACAGGAAATAACGTACAATAACTCTGATAAAGTAAGAGGATTATGTGATAAGAAGCCTAGCAAACAAGCATAGATATGACAAACAGCTGGGGTCTTAGTTGGGTGAAGAGGAAGATACAGGATCAGACATCAGAGGTACAAGAGAGAGAAAGCTGTTGGGTTTCCACAGTAACAAAAGGTTAAAGTCAGAGTTGAAGTTCCAAGTAACTAATAAACATAAGCGCTATTTAGACTGAGATAAGATACTGTGAGTATATCCAATTAAAAAATGAAGTAGTTTGCATTAATGGTTATAATAATGAGACCCATGATCTGCTAATATTATTCTGTTCTTGAAACTATGTTTTTGCAGAAGATCCACCTGCAAATGCACAAATCCTTTGTGAAACTTAGGTGCCAAATCACTTACCTCCACAGTTTTTGATCATTTTTTTGCCCGGCATTTGCTTGGGTTTTTTAAATCTATTTTTATATCATGTTATTTATCAAGTCACTCATATCTTTTATGCAAGAGATGAATGAGGCTTACTATTATTTCCACAAGGTTGGAAGTTTTAGATGGTACATATCAACAGTGTAAAATACCCAAGTTGTTGATATAAGACTGGGGTTCTTATTCACGAGACTCCTTTGCTAATCAAGCGAGAGCAGAGTTCTGCCTAAGTCGGTCTTAGCTCCATCTCTGACAACCCAAAAGAAAAACATCATTAAATTGTTCAAGAAAAGGGTTAAGTGAGATATTGTTCATGTTTGTAGAAAAGTTTTCCAGGCATAATGAAGTCAGTCATCTTTCTTGGGTTGAATTTAATTAACTAAAGCAAGTCAGAGTACATTTGTAGGGAGCATCCTCAGACTGTGAGGGGCTGAACTGGATGAATGAATATTGATTCTTTGCTCTTTAGAGAAAATAAAAAGGGAAAACCATTTCCAAATGATCTATTTCATAATATGTTCAATGTTTTGAAACATTAACACGTATCTAAGGTACTGCATGCCTACTGAAGGTCATCAGTGGAACAATAATTTTTCTCCGTTTCTTTTGGTATCATATTTTAAAGGCATAGACAAAACAGGTAGAGTTTCAACTTTAAATCTTCATTTTCAGACTTTTGATTGCTCTAAAAAATTATACTGTGTTATTGCTAGTTCTTTGTACTGAACTATTTCTGATGCAGATGCTGTCAAATGTCATTGTCTCAAAGGGAGTTTAAAGGCCTTAGAAAGAGGAACAAAATCTTTAGTTGCCCTAAATCAGATACTTTTTTTCTTAACGTCACTGTGGGCAAATAGGATATTGTTGCTGACAAATTTAAAGGATCATAAATTAATATAAGCAGGTGAAGGAATGAGAAAAGTAGCACAGGTAAAGAAAAGGGCTTGCTTCAGTTTCTTTTCTGAGCAGAAAGATTACTCCTGACTTTAGTCTTCCTGGAGACAGTGTGCTAGAGAAATAAGTGTTCAAAAATTGTACTTCTGAGTAGTGTTTAAACTGTCTGAAAATTTTGAAAAGTGCATCACAGCTTTTTAAGTTTTATGGTGTGATCCTGATACTTTATGTTCTTTTAAAAGGGTATCATAGAGTCATAGAATCATTCGGTTGGAAAAGATCATAGAGTCCAACCATACCTGTCCCTACTAAGCATCTCATCTACCCGTCTTTTAAATACCCTCAGGGATACTTCCCACTCATCTACCCGTCTTTTAAATACCCTCAGGGATGCGGACTCCACAACTTCCCAGGGCAGCCCATTCCAGTGCCTGATAACCCTTTCAGTGAATAATTGTTTCCTAATATCTAATCTAAACATGCCTTGGCACAGCTTGAGGCCATTTCTTCTCGCCCTATCGCTTGTTACTGGGGAGAAGAGACCAACACCCACCTCACTACAGCCTCCTGTCAGGCAGTTGTAGAGGGCAATAAGGTCTCCCCTCAGCCTCCTCTTCTCCAGGCTGAACAACCCCAGTTCCCTCAGCCACTCCTCATAAGACTTGTGCTCCAGACCCTTCACCAGCTTCGTTGCCCTTCTCTGGACATGTTCCAGCAACACAACGTCTTTCTTGTCATGAGGGGCCCAAAACTGAACACAGTATTCGAGG